GGACAACACAAAAAAGGAAAACTACAGGCCAATCTCCCTAATGAACACTGATGCAAAAATCCTCAATAAAATTTTAGCTATCAGAATCCAACAATGCATCCATAAGATAATTCACCACGACCAAGTAGGATTCATTCCAGGGACACAAGGATGGTTTAACATCCGAAAATCAATCAACGTTATCCAACACATCAACAAAAAGAAATATAAAACCATATGATAATATCAAAAGATGCTGAGAAAGCTTTCGACAAAGTGCAACAACCATTCATGATAAAAGCCCTTGAAATTCTTGGGATACAAGGAACATACATCAACATCATAAAGGCCATCTATGACAAGCCAACAGCCAGTATCATTCTCAATGGTGAAAAGCTGAAAGCAATTCCATTAAGATCTGGAACAAGACAAGGATGTCCACTCTCACCACTGCTTTTCAATATAATACTGGAAGTCCTAGCCAGAGCAATAAGACAAGAGAAAGACATCCAAGGAATCCAAATAGGAAAAGAAGAAGTCAAACTATCACTATTTGCAGATGATATGATAATATACATACAGAACCCCAAAAAGTCCACAGAAAAACTAATTCAACTCATCAATCAGTTCAGTAAAGTGGCAGGATACAAAATCAACACGCAAAAGTCAGTAGCCTTCCTATACACAAACAATAAATCTGAAGAAGAAGAAATCAAAAAAACCATCCCTTTTTTTATTGAAACAAAAAAAATCAAATATTTGGGAATAAATCTAACAAAAGAGGTAAAGGACCTATACAAAGAAAACTATAAAACACTGTTAAAAGAAATAGAAGAAGACACAAAGAAATGGAAAGACATCCCCTGCTCATGGATTGGAAGAATAAACATTATTAAAATGGCCATCCTCCCAAAAGCAATATACAGATTCAATGCTATTCCAATCAAAATTTCAATGTCATTCTTCAAAGAAATAGAACAATTATTGATGAAATTCATATGGAATCACAAAAAACCCCGAATAGCCAAAGCTCTCCTGAAAAAAAAAGAAGGGAATGGAGGCATCACACTCCCAGACTTCAAACTCTACTACAAAGCCATAATCATCAAAACTGCATAGTATTGGAACAAGAACAGACATACAGACCAATGGAATCGAATAGAAAATCCAGAAATAAACCCATAGATTTATGGTCAACTAATCTTTGACAAAGGAGCAAAGACTATGCATTGGAGCAAAGAAAGTTTGTTCAATAAATGGTGCTGGGAAACTGGGTCGCTACATGCAAAAGAATGAAGCTTGACCACTACCTCACACCATACACAAAAATCAACTCAAAATGGATTAAAGGACTAGACATAAGACCTGAAACCATAAAATATATAGAAGGAAATATAGGCGAAACTCTACGTGATTTGCACATCAAAGACATCTTTACAGACACATCACCCAAAGCAGTGATAGTGAAGGCAAAGATAAACAGCTGGGACTACATCAAATTAAAGAGCTTCTGCACAGCAAAAGAGACAATAACAAAAACAAAGAGAAACCCCACCAACTGGGAGAACATTTTTGCTCCCAACACTAATGATAAAGGACTGATCACAAAAATCTGCAAAGAGCTGATGAGACTCAACAACAACAAAGAAAATAATCCAGTCAAAAAATGGGCAGAAGAGCTAAAAAGAAACTTCTCTGAAGAGGAAATGCAAATGGCCAACAGGCATATGAAAAAATGTTCAACATCACTTGTCATCAGGGAAATGCAAATCAAAACTACCATGAGATACCATCTCACACCAGTGAGAATGGCACATATTAAAAAAACTAGCAACAACAAATGTTGGCGAGGGTGTGGAGAAAAAGGAACTCTTCTGCACTGTTGGTGGGAGTGCAAACTGGTCCAACCACTGTGGAGAGCTGTGTGGAGATTTCTGGACCTACTAAACATAGAGCTTCCACATGATCCAGCAATTCCACTCCTAGGTATTTACTCAAAGGACACAGAAACATCAATTCCAAAGAACATCTGCACCCCTATGTTTATAGCAGCACTGTTTACAATAGCTAAGCTTTGGAAACAACCCAAATGCCCAAAAATAGATGACTGGATCAAGAAGATGTGGTACATATACACCATGGAATATTACTCAGCATTCAAAAAAATAAACACATGCAATTTGCAGCAATATGGATGGCACTGGAAGGGATCATGCTCAGCAAATAAGCCAAAAAGAAAAAGAAAAATACCGGATGGTCTCACTCATAGCAGGAATCTAGAAAACTTAAATAAGGGAACAGGAAAACGAATAACTATAAGAAAGTGAAAATCAAAATCAACAAAAAACTACGAACCAGAGACACTTTTAAGGGGGCGGGGGTGGGAGGGGAGAGATTGGGGTCAGAATGGGGGGGCCTTGCAATTGTATAGGGAATATAAAAATTTTATTATTTAAAAAAAAAAAAAAACAGTACCATCATTGTTTAGTGCATTTTTAGAACACTTCTTTAATTTCTTCTGAAAACATCCTAACACACATGTATAACCTCTTGGTGTGAATTTATAAGGCATGGGATTGTAGACACAACACATTGTGTAACAATTTCTCTGTTGAAAATCATGGGATCCTGACATTGAATGAAATTTAGACAAGAAATAGTCAGTTTTGATGGAGGACAAGAATAGAAAGACTGGAAAGGAGGTGCCCAAAGATCATGAGGAGGTGGGGGGAGAGGGAAATAATGTGACCATTAACCCAGCTATAGATGTCTGGACCCTTAGGCACCAGTGCCTTATCAGGAAACATGAGACCCAAGCAGGATCAGACTGCTGTGGGGAGAGTCTAGAGCACAGGCCCAAGGGTAAAGATACAGATATTGAGCCCAAGAGACCCCAAAGGTAAAGATATGGAGATTGAGCCCACTGTGGAATCTCAAGTCCCTTTTAGACTCTACATAGTTACCCAAAATCGGCAACTAACCCAAAGGCTCACAAGGAGTGGGCCCCTCTCAAACAGACAACGACTCTATCAGTGCAGTCTCTGCACTGGCTTGGGGCAGCACTCCCTCTGCCCAACTGTGACTATGCAGGTCCCTCTTTTCACCAACTCTCTCCTCTGCAGGGCAGCAGCCTCCTGCCTGTCCGTGACCTGTACCATGCCGGGGCTTCTCTTCACTGACCTCCCTCAGTCGGGGCAGCTCTCCTCAAGGCCGCCCGCCTGCAACCATGCAGGCCTCTCTCAGCAAACTTGTTCCCTTTGGGGCAGCTCTTCCTGCACGCTTGTGTCAATATAAGTGTCTTTTCCTCTTCTGTCCCTTTCCCTAAGAAACCTGTTCTTTAAATATAACTAAACGTCTCTGTCTCGTGGAGAAACTCGCCCGGGGAACTCGCCGCGTGCCGCTGAAACGGGAGCTCTGGTGAAACTTTCCCAGAGCAACCCCAAGGACCCTGCACTCCAAACCCACAGACTCCAAAAATGACAACAAACAAGTCTTACCATTTTATACATAAGAAAACTATGAATATGAGGTTCAGTGACTTACCGATTTTAATTCTTGCATCTTGTCGCCTGTAAGGACAGGAACAGGGCACTGAGCAGGTTTTCTGATCCAGCAGACCGGGTAAAGGAGGAGTCCTGGAGTCCTCAGTGGCTTTTCAGGCTTCTGTTGGGATTTACCAGGTACACAGCAGGCAGGGGCGCTTGGGGGGCCGGGAGGCTGGCAGGCCTCCCAGCCCCCAGCAAGTCTTCACTCTGGGCTCTCCGGCCTTCTCTCTGCTTCTCTTCTTCTCTTGGCTTCTGTTCTTCTTGGCTTCTGCTGGCGTTCCCGTGACGCCGCCCCTATAAACTCAGTCTCTCAGCCCAGGTGTACCCACTTCAGGTGCCCGCCATCAGGCATGCATTCAGGACCACAGGATTCCCTCATCTATCCTAATGGCGGGAGGGCAGAAAAGCCTGATACTTTTACCTTACCCTACATGCCCTTGTCCAGGCCCTGAGAAGTGTTACAAGCTGGGCTGCCCTAGGCGGCTAAAACTGCTATATCCAGAGAGGTGAGGCAAATCCCCATGATTAAAGAAATGTCACCAGGCAGAATCCCACATCTGCCAGTCAGTGATCACTCTACTTCCTTGCCTTTGCCCTGAACAATCACACATACATACACACACATGCTCACGCACACACTTTCTAGAAATTTCTACATCTATAATTAATTCGGGTCTTCCTTCCAGTCCTCTTCCTCTCAGTCTTTTCTAGCTTCCCCTGGCTGCTTAGCTCCACCCTTCCTTAGGTGGGGCAGGGAACCTGGAACCTCCCCTTTCTATGTATATCACACTGTTAAAAACTTAAAAACTCAAACTAAGGATTAAGGGGTCAGTTGCCACAGAAGGGTAAAATAGGCTTTTCTCTATAGGACCAGAGTAGGCCTCTTGTCACCTTGGTATGAGAGCTAGAGGTCACTAAAAGCCCAGTGAGCCTCCCCAGGTCTCTTACTATTATTTAAAAAATGCAGATGTTTTGTGTCATGAGCAATGAAATTACTTGAGCTGAGGAGAATGTCTGCCTAAGCCCTTCTGCCCCCGCTAATCAAAGAAGACCCCACATCCTAGGCTTCTGCCTTTTTCTGACTGGAGAGACAATCACTGTTCCCTTTACAACCTAGAAGAATGTGGTTTGGAGGGTCTCATTCTGTTGTAGGTTTATCAGTGAACATGTTCTCCCTGTTTACGAGTCTCTCTCGTTATTCTCAGAGTAAGTGTAACAGGGTGGTCCCCAGGAAAGAGGGAGGCGGGGTTTGGGCTGCCCCTCTCCCTGTCCTATAACATAAGGATGAGCTAATTCCCTGTCTGAAGTGTGAAGTCTCCTCTCTCTGACACCTCAGGTCCCTAAACGCAGGATAAATAGCCCCAGTCCACTCAATTATTCTGTAGAATTTATAACCATGTAAATTCTCCATACATAAGCTATTAAATTGTTTTTCCTTTGCTAACCTGTCTGATGCCATTTTTATTACTCATCTAGCCGAGAAGAACCCAGCGGGATGGAGATGATTTCCTATGCTCCTTGACAGGGTCAAATTGCTGAGGACCCAGGTGATCTGACTCTGAGTCCAGCTTTGACGTTAGCTTATGGTTGCCGCTCCCTAACAAGAGTACTACTGCTTTATTTTAGAGACTAAACTCCTTAGCTGGAACTAAAAAAATAAAACTGGAAGCAATTTCAGTCTCTTTCCTGGAAGCCAATCAAGAGAAGCTCAAACCCTTTTCCAAGCCTGGAAGGTGATGTTTAAGTTTAGATTCAGTCCCCAATACCCATGAGGGTGGGCATAAGACTGGCCACAAGTCAATATAATTTGTCTCTCTTTAACCTAAGTGCTCCTTATAAACAATACAAATTAACGTTCTACCCCATAAACTAGATGCCTGTAAAGTTGCTAGTTATTATGGAAATACTTCATGCGTTACAGTTAGCAATGTCAAAACACGAGAGATTAGGCTTCTAAGAAGAGATCTGGGATGTAGGAAGATAAAATGAATTCTTTCAGAAAGGAATGCTGTTATTAGTTGGTTTGCTTTTGTTTATTGGGCAGTTTCAAGCACAAGAGAAATGTTTATTGCCAGTAACAGTATGGATAGTGGACATGTTCCGCCGCCCGGTGATGACTGAGCTGAAATGTGGCTCTCCACTTTTTTGTTGCACAAGGAGACGGGGAGCAATTTTATTGGGCATCTACTATATTCAAGCCCCTCTGTTCAGCAATCTAGGCACTTAGTGGGTCCTTCCTGTGTCTGAGAATCCTTATCATTATTCTAATTTCTCATTAATCTCTCAAGGCAGCTATTAGCATCCTCATTTGATAAATGTTAAAAGAAACTCAAAGAAGTGAGGATCCTTGGCTCTGGTGAGAAAAGCCAGATCTTTGGATACCAGCACACTGGCCCTTTATCTCGAATCTGTGTCTGTACCTTCTACTTCTAAACCTTCTACTTCTAAACCTTCATGCCTCAAAGAGCATAAGAATAGGGACTACTAAAGCTGGGAAACTGGATTTAACATAACAATACTAAGGGAGTAATATTTCTTTGAATATAAATTTAACCAACATAATTGGTTGCTTTCTTTAACAGAGCCTTATTTTTAAAACACCACCTGGAAATCACTCCCCACTCAGGCAACTACAGCCAACCCCCACATGGCCTTTAAACTTTAAACAACCTTGACTATTCCAATATGTCCCAAATACATTCTAGGAGATGACAGGCTCAGAGTTACAGCTCACCCTCTGAAGCCCTTATTAGTTTGGAGATTTTTGGTAACCTTAAAGGGTTAGTTTCCAGGGAATGACCTGGAAGGGGGTGCAAAAGTCTCATTGGAATGCTTTTAGGGAAAAGCAGGAAGGCAGGAATTAGAAAGATTATCGAAGAACACTCTTCTGAGGAGTTTTGCTGTGACAAAGAACAGAGAAATAGAGCAGTAACTGGGGGGACAGTGTGGTCAAGAGGTAGGAAAGGTATGTTTAGAGGTTGATGGCAAGAATCTTTTACGGAGCAACCCCGATATAAAATGGGTTGCCTGGCTGTGGGTCCTCACCCGCACTAGAAAGGAACTTATTAACACTCCACTACAGGGCCTCCCCAGTGGCACAGCGGTTGAGTGCTGGGTTGCAAAGCTGCCCCCAGCCTCTGCGGTGCCGGTTCAATCCCCAGCTGCTCCCCGGCCACCGGAGGAGGGCCCCATGGCGCGCAGACATCTCCTGCCGCCCACTGCTCCCCTCAGCAGTGTACTTCGGTCCTTCTGCCTGCTCTGCTCCCTGCTCTGGCTCTGGTGAATTCTCTCACCCTCCTGCGCTTCTGACTGTACCCAGTGCTTGTATAAATAAATAAATCTTTAAAAACCAAAAAAAAAAATACTCCACTACAGGCACACACAAAAGGTTAATAAAAGGTTTATTTACAAGGGAAAGGGAATTAAGGAAATGTACAACTCAGGGAGAAAATAGGGAAATAAAGTCTTTAATGCGTCCTACCCGATCCGCCAACCTGGAAACCCAAAGGCACACTCAGAGCTGGCCGTACAGCTGCGAGCTGGCGGAGATCCAAAATGGGGGATCCCCTCCAAAGCCCACGTGTCTGGCTTTATACCAAACCTGGCTGCTTAACCCCACCCTCAGGTCCCAGCCACCTTCCCTTTGGTGGGGATGGGATTTGGAGTTCCCAGTGTCTTTGGCTTTGGCCTGGTGTGGGGGTGGAGTCCACAAAGCCTGTATGGAATTAGCTTTAGGACATCATTTTCCCCCTAACAATTCAAGCAAAAACAGATTCGGTGTCTAGTGAGGGTCTGCTTCCTAGTTGGCCATCTTTTTGCTATGCCCTATGGTAGAGCAGATGAGGGAACTCTGGGTCTTTTTTACAAGAGTCCTAAACCCAATCATGAGGACTCATGACCTAATCACCTTGGAGATCAAGATTCCAACATGTGGATTTTAGGGACACAACTACTTAACAGATGAAAGCAGGAATGAATGAATGGCAGAACAAAGAGCCTATTATATGTTACAATTTTCAAAAATTCTTTCACTATCCTGAATATTATAATATCTTATTATAAAGATTTTTTATAATAAATAAGGAAGGTGTGAATGGTAATGGATACTTTACAGGATAGAAAATTGAGATCCAGAGAGACTTATATAAATGATAAAGTCTGAATGGTTGTTTCCTTCGACAAGAAGATGACAAGCTCTTGTGCCTGTGAGCAGGAGGCACTCAGGTGACAGGCTTTCTCTTATGTGGACTTGTGAGCAGTCAGTGAGCTTGTGCTTAATGAAGAAATCACTCCTTATCCCGTCGCAGATTAAGATATAAGGAAGACTCTGTATTTAAGTAACATAGATAAACACCTTTTTAGATTGCCTATTTGTTCTAGAACTACAAAATTTAAATCAAGAAAATATAGGTCCCATGAAAGACTCAAATGTTTCATAAAAATAAAATCTAGTTTTCTTCAATAAACTGTACTGTAGCCAAAACACTCCCAATGCTTCTAAAATGATACTAATGGGGCCTCTGATTATACAAGAGTAATAAAAACATTTCAATATTTATTTGAATAACAAGTTAAATTTGAGCTGTTGGCAACGCAGATTTTTAATAGATCACAAAAAGCGTGCACAGAAATGTACTGGCACAAAGGACAAAATAAGAATTAGGCTAAGTAGCTGTTGATTTTTAGAAAACAAAAGGCTTGAAATTACTAAACAAATTATAAAAGGTATTAAACACTACCATCCGAAGGGCAGCCTTTATTATTGATTATATTTTTAAATTATTTGTGTAATTATATATTGAATTGTAAATGAGTGTTATACATGAACCCTCTTTCGGAAGGCAGTTCCTTGTTGCACTATAGAACATCTAATCACATTGCAAAAAGTATCCTTTTTTGCCATCAATAAAGGAAACAGCTAATAATATTACTGTAAATATTAGGAAGGCTACAGAAAAATAAAATGTCTTCAAAGTGCTTTCCATGCAGAATTAAGCACTTGCCTGGTTTAATTGAATGCATTGTAGGGAAATGATCTGGGTCAAAGAGAGGCTCTTGAATGAGGAGACCAGGTTTTACAAATCAAAGATTCAAAGAAATCATGCAACCCTTTTATTGCTGGGATACCACTGTATCACTTACCAATTCTGCCTTTCCAGCATCTCATTCAAGATACTTAGAAAAGATCAGACTGATAATGATAAATATACATAAAATGTAAAGACAAAAACTGTTATTTGAAACTACCATTGGTAATGTCTGAGCTCTATGAAAGCACCTTGGAAAGAGCCTATGCAGCAAGAGGAAAGTGTCTAAAGATTCAAAATGAATCAACAGTATTGGATAACAACATATTTCTCAACTCAGATGCTGACTCAAGATTAGGTGTATTTTAGTTACTGTAACAGGAGGAGGGTGAGGGAAGGGGACACACGGGCATGGTGATGATGGATTTTATTAATTGCATCCACTCACATATCAGTCTAAGGTCACCAGATGTGTAGACACCATGAGATTTTTGTTGTTGTCTATAGACTTTAATGGAAGTGATAAAGAAAATAGACTTATTAAAAAATAAAACTAAAAAGCTATTTCGGTCTAGATTAAGAGACGGCACCAAGTGTGGGGTTCACATTTTAAGAGGCCACTTGTGCAACTTAGATGCTGCCCCCAGTGTGTCAGTGACTCTGACAGTAAGGTCCCATTCTCTGTGACTTCAGCAACCCATGCTTCCTTCGTTGTGTTTTAGGGCCATTATTTCTACACAGAATGCAGCTGCTTGTTCACTCTATAAACAGATTGGAAGGCCTACTGAGGTCCCAGGCATGAAGCCAAACATGTTTGCACAGGCCTTGCTCACAGCAGTCACCTTAGCCAGGATAGGAAGGTTGTGAATGACAAAGGACACCTCGTTCCTCTGCAGCTGGACAAGGTTCTGTGCATGGCCAGAAACCCCAGGTCTGTGAGGCAGCGTGGGCATCTCTGAATGTGCACATAAGCCTGCAGCTCTCCTGCTGAGTGTGGCCATGTGCGTCATCACCTCTTATTAGCATGTCAGCCCCACACCTTCTTGGGTGACCACTCGTTTAATTTTATACCATTCTCAGGACTATTCAGCCACTGATGCTTGGATGAGAGGAAAGAGGGATTGGAAGTGACTGCTAATGGATAAAGGGTTTCTTTCTGGAGTGATGGAAATTTTCTGAATTAGACAGTGGTGACGATTGTACAATGTTTTGAATACACAAAAGTCATTGAAGTGTACACTGAAAAATGTGAAAAGTGTAAAAATGCTATAGTTTAAAATGGTGAATTGTTTGTGAATTTTAGATCAGTAAAGTAAATAGCAAAAAAAAAAAAAGAAAGATGTACCTGCCTCATTATCACCAAATACTGTCTATATCCATCTTACCTTAAACCACAGAGGGACTTAGCCCTATGGAGACAGCTATTAAAATAATGCAAGGTTCCAGCCTCTTATCTTTGTGGAATAAGAATTACCC